ATGAACTGTCTGAAGTGAAGCCTAGCAGGTGACTGGCAGCCAGAACCCTAAAAATACATAACTGTAGTTCTTAATATAATCTGAAAAGTAAGTTATAAAGATTGTAAAGATGAAATTTCCTACAGTTTTGACTTGGACCAGATTGTAACTATGTCTTTTTCTACTGTAAAGCTGGACATTTACCACATTTTTTATACATAAGGCGCATTAAGCAAAACAAAACAGTCAGATAAGTCAAACTTTACTCAGCTCCTTCTTGCTTCCTTCTCTTCTGTACCATTGATTCATTAATGCTTAATCCTCTGGCAGCTGCTCTATTCCCATGTTGTTGCAGTATATTAATGACTAACCTCGTGGATGGATTATCTCAGTTGTTCTCCTGATTGAAGTTTGGTCCGTTTACAGCATCCTGCCATGCGATTGCATTTGTCTCTAACCATCAGGAACCCTCACGTTAACTTTTATCCAGTGGAAGAAAGTAAGCTTCATCCTCCAGCTTCACTGTTTATGCTAACATAGCTGTGTTCTACGATCACGTAGCACATCATTATATACCAGCTAGCCCAACTTCAGTAACCCTACAAACGTCACTGCTGTTTAGTTTTCTGTCTTCATTTATGTTGGAAGTGATAGCAGAGCTGTACGTTTGAATTTATTCAGAAATCTCTCAGTCAGAACATGCTATATCATGTTTAGGTGGAAGCTAGCGAGGTTGCCAACTCCCTGAAAAATAAATAAGGGACACCTCGTGGCCAGGGCCGGGCGACCCAGTTGTCTTCACCCTTCCCATGTGGTGAATTTTCTAGCTCTTTTTTTGTGTGTGAAATTATTTTTTTGACTTGAATTTGATTTAAGCAGATGCATATTCTATTCTTGTGATATGAACACATGTGAAACAAATGATCATTTAGCCATTTATTTTTAGCTCAAAATGACAACATTAACACAATAAAACAGGTCTCTTTCTTAAACAGAAGCCTGTCATGCTTAACTTTTGAGAATATAAGTAAATCTTTCTTTAAAAGAACTCTGTCCTGCTTAACTTAAAATAATAGAAACAATAGAAAAAATATTCTTGTAACAGTGCACATTTAGTGCATTTAGTACAATTGGCTTCAGCTGAGGTATTATTTCAGCTTTTGCTCCTGTTTGTAAACCCGCTTGTTCCCATGATTACGCATCATAACTCATCATCATTATTCATCTATGTATTACTTTTATGTATTAGTCATCTATTTGTTGTAATCATCTATCCTTGCAGTTGTTTATTACACAAAATAAGTTATATTATCACACTTCTGGCCACATAGCGCTGATATTCACTGCACATGCCCATATTAACTTTTTCCAGCCAGGTGTTTTCCTTTTCCCATTCTTCCCTTTCTCTGAGGGGAACAAACATTGCTGCTCTAACGCTGGGCTCACACTGTGCGGTTTTAGGCCCATTTTGAGACGATTTTTGAGTCGTGCGACCGATTTGGTGATCGGACCGATTTTGGCCTTCATCGTGCGTCGTGTAGTATACGTGGGGTAACGAGAAGTGATTAACACCTCACGACCAGCTCCCGATCATCAATCGCTCGTGAGGGTGTCACCACAGCCGCTCACACTGCTCACGCGCAAACACGTAAACGTCGGTGAAAAAGACGGAGCAGCACGGCTGTGCAGCGTGTGATCTGGACACAAGCGATGGAGGCACAACTTGTAGAACTTTGGAAAGCTCATCCGAGCCTTTTCGATGTGGCATCACAAAATATCACGACCACAACAACCGTGAAAATAGTTGGATTTACATGCTGCTCAATCACAGCTGCCTGATCATGTTTTTCATTAGCAATTTAGCAAAGTTGATGGTGGTGGTGTGTCTGTGTGAGTGAAAGACAGAGAGAGCGACAGAGTTTCTGTTATAACCTTCATGTTATGGAGGCACAGTGTGAGCACTCAGGTCGCATCAGAGCATCGGTTAGTGTGAGACCTGCATCGTGACCTATGAACTTCTAACCCTGCGAGTCAATCGTGCAGTTTGAGCAGGAGCTGAATAACGTGACTGAAAAAATCGCACAGTGTCTGCCCAGCTTTAGGTGTACTGTCGTCCGAGACTTGCACCGCAGTGTCGGCGTTTGTTTCCCTGTTGGCCATGCTTCTTGTTGTGGTCATCTGTTGTCTTCCGGTATTTTCTCCGTAAGCGACCTTTCCTCGACCAATGAGATGAGCGGTAATCTGAATTGTCATACTCGAATTGTCATAAGTGTGCTGTCAGCTCATTGGTCACAAAGCAGGAGAGGGGCTGGGAATTATGTTTTCAAACAAAGCGTTAATTCCATTAAAAGTTATAGACTACTTTTGATTCTCACTGTATTACGGGACAAAGTGCGTCCCTTATTAGCTCAATACGGGACGTGTACTTTTGTTTCGAAATACGGGACGATTCCGTTTTTTAAGGGACGGTTGGCAACCCTACTAGCGAGCTAACTTCCTGCTAACTTCTAACTCTGTTAAATGTAATAAATTCTGTTTTCATGGATGCCTGGATGTTAAACTTAATTGTTACACCTGGTAAAGCAGCAACGCTGATGATTTTATTAAAGATGAAAGAATTTAGACAGTTTTTAACTCTCAGTGATGCTGCAGTGTTCGTTTGACTTTGGGACCTGAAAGTGACGGCGTTTAGGACCCAGATTACTCCGCAAGGCTCCTGAGTACGGCAGCCATAATGCTCAGACAATCCATCAAGTGGTGCGGCTTCGTAGCTTACAAAAGTCGTACTAATACTGAACCTTATAGCCCGAAAAGACACGGTAACCATCTAGGATTGACTCACTTTGGAGCCAGCCCCAAGTGGCCACTAATGGAATTGCAGTTTTTGGTCCCTTTTGCATGGGCTCCATGTTTTGCTCCCCCCTGTTGCCAGCAGAAACCATGACAAATGCCTGGTCTCATTTGCTTTCTGTGTGGAGCAGAGAAGCTGTTTGTTGATGTTGAAAATCTTCCAGCAGCTTTGAGGCATCTTGGCTGTCACCTCTCTTTCGTTCCCTGGGGTTTTCATTTTATACGTGTCACCGCAGTATCTTTCCTTCCCTCCTCACAACTCATTCTAAGCTCTTTATTTTAGGCTGTCATGGCACAGTGAGCTCGTCAAAGTGTGAGCTAAAATGTTTGAAAAATCTGCATCATGGTCTTTTAGAGTGTGACACAGGGTCTTCTCAGGGTAGTAGGCTTGTCATGCTACAAGGGTTTCAAGCTCAATACTAAGGAAAATACTCACTACTTGTTATCATGTCAAAAATTAAAGGGACTTTTTTAAAAATAAAAACTAGAACAGTACAAACAATATCAGTGACAACCATATTTTAAGTTGATTGATGTAGTGCACAATACATCAATGTAACTTTCAGGTTTATATCAAATATTTAAGATTTTCTAAAGTACTGACAAAAAATAGACAAACATATTGTGGGTATATAGTTTCAATTAGATAATGTAGCAGTAAGTGAGTATACTGTATACTGCAGAGGCTCACAGCAGGAACGTGATGTAAACTGATTCAACTTTATACATTTGGTCATTTATAATCTTGCATTGACCTGAACTTTTAACTTTTGACTTGTGCTTTTATTTGAATCTCTTCTGTGTGACTTTGAATTGAATGAAAACATGTAGTGAAACTTGAGGATGTTATTGAGAAGTTATCTTGGATTGCTGATCACAGAAACCATCCAAACCTCTGTGGAGAACAGCCAAAATGTAAAATGTTATATGCTGACAGGCACCAAGGAAATTATACTAATGTTAAATTAGATGTTAAATGTGTGCAGTGGTTTTTATTTGTGAACTAACTGAGACAATCTAAATGACAAAGAAAAGATTTAAGTTTGTCTTAAGTGGCTGACAAATCATAATGACCCTTCAGGCCTCATATGTGGTGCCACCTCTCACTAGCTGCTCTGTACTTTGCTTCATGCTGAACTGTTGAAGAATAATGAAAAGAGCTGTACCAGAGTCGGTGCTTGTTAACCTGCTGTGTTGAAATGATTCCAGCTTTTTGCAGTTTCTATCGGCTCGCTGATGTAATTATCAGCTAAAGAAACTTCTTTTAGCTGGAGGTAATGTCTGTTTTGTATATTGTTTCATATCAATGTATATCAAAACTCTCCTGTTTGTAGAGCTTTGATGAATTTGTTTATGCTGTTTGCATATTTTTGTTATAACAAGAAGGTAATTGAAGTAATGGTTTCCTAATTGATTTGTGTATGTATACTGCTTCTTGCCATATGGAAGGATGGAGTATACATTGCTTGTTTCTTCCACTCAGTAACAGCAACTTCTATCAGCATGCCCTGCACTCTTGTGGGGTGAAAGATGTGCAATGCCTGATACTGAAATCAGAAAAAAATCCTTCAGGGTTTGATAGTTTTGTAGCTGAAGGTTCAAGCAAACTTCCAGAACCTTATTTTCTGTTATTTACCCATGAAATAGTTTTTATGTTGAAACATCTCTGCAATGCTGTGTTTAAGAAAAGATTACAGATTAGAATTCTAAATAATTGCGGTTTATTGTATGAGAAAAGCTCAAGTAGGTGTGTAAAACTGTCCTTGCTCGGAGGCACGGACAGAGGTGTGGAATGGGATTTTCAGCCTGTGATTTTATTACATTTGGTCTGTAATTTGGCAGGATTGTGATCTGACTGCATCGAGCGTGTCAGATTATGTGTGCTTGGTAGGAGCCTTTTTCCGTCACAATGCATTTTACCGGCAGTGAAATTGCATCGCCCTCGCTCTCGTTCACACAGATCCATGACGAGGAATTCTGTGGTAGGATTAGTCATGCAGTGGCCCCGCCATACTTACATTAGAGCTGGATTTCACTGTGTTTGAATTTCACGGGGGGAAACCTTACAACCTGAAGGTTTGTGGAATGAGCAGAGAAAATTTGACAGAGCCAGGCTGAGACTCGTCTGTATCATGTCCAGGAGTGCTGATGTGTGTTTGTCTGTCTTACAGAGGACCAGATACCACACGGCTTCCCCACCATAGACATGGGCCCCCAGCTGAAGGTTGTGGAAAGAACGCGTACGGCTACAATGCTGTGTGCAGCCAGCGGAAACCCCGATCCAGAGATCTACTGGTTCAAAGATTTCCTGCCTGTGGATATTAGTAGCAGCAATGGGCGCATTAAGCAGCTGCGATCAGGTAAAGCACTCATCTCAGTCGGTTCACACACAGATTTCTGTTAAGCAATGAGAGGCACAGGATTCTTCAGGCGTTAATCATTCATTTTTAATTAGTAGAAAACCTGTTGAAAAGGTGCAATCGTGAGAGTTTGAGGAGAATCCACATATCATAATAACACTGCACTGTCTGTGCAATACAATATTTATATGTATTGAATGAGAGTCCATTTATGTTTTCACCAACAAGAGGGATGTACTAAGGAGTGTCAGAGTTGTCAGTATCACGGCTCTGCCTTCATCTGGTTAGAGCATCGTACTAACTTGTATCGGCTATGCAGACGTGAAACGCACCAGATTTTTTTTGTACTCTTAAGTGCAACATATGAAGTCATTTTATACATCCAACCTTGAGCCATGCGTTACTGATATACCAAAGGAAGTTAATAAAGTTACAGATAAATACAAATATGTTTACTCTGTGCTCTGTGCAGCTTCATATATATATATATATAATCTTTAAAAAAATAAATAAAATAATGGATATTCCAGCCCTATTTTAAGTGACGCAGAGGGGAAAACTGCTTCTCAGGCCTTCTGCTGTGACGCTTCAATTGCAAGTATTGTCTCGAGTAGATGCAATCAGTTCCAGCAGCCCCGTCGGAGCTGGAACATGATGCAGACTTTGAGATACTGACATAGTCTCAGAGGAACAAGCCTGAAGAAGGCAACATTCAGTTGCTCCATTTTTACAGAGGAAGAGTGAAACTGAAGCAGCAGAGAAAGTTGATGAACGCTGCTGTAAAACCAGTTATCTCTAACTGGGGTTTTAGGTTTGGTTGAGCGAGTATAAGCAAAGAAAGTCTGGCTGAGTAGTGGACCTCTCCGAGCCTGGGAACTCTCTGAGCCATTTAACAATTCCTTCAGATATTAGCACCCAGGCCTGTCAGTGTCATACTGTTAGTGTTGAACACAGTTTCTGTTTTACTGGATATAATAAGTCTCTTAATGGGATTTGGTTTGTGTTTACATGCATTTATAGACTCGTGACCATAGCACAGACGACTGATCACAAAAATGACATAAAAAATAACAACACTTAAGGTGAAGTGGTAAGCAACAACTGAAGTTGCTAAGAGTAAAGTACACATTAAGCAAATGATGGAGGCTAATGTTTCCTACTTTGAACAGAACCTCATAGATTCAGTAATTACCTGAGCAGCACCTGTGCAGGATTATTGGCGTGCCAAGAGTGCTTAAGACCCCACAGACGGTGATGAATGTTAAAGCACAGGCAGCCCTGTAAAGCAGCTCTGTGAGGAGGCTGCCAGCATCCAAAGAAGCAGATAGTGCATCTCATTCCACCAATCCGGGCTGAGCGGCTCACAGCAGAGCTGGATGGCTGAGTAACCGAGCCCTGCGCAACCTATCAGCTGCCCTTTCTGCTCACTTTCCGAGAGAAAATAGAAATGTTTGAGTCTTGCCAAAACTCGTAAGCACCTACGCATCGTTGGATCGGCTCTTCAGGTTCAAACATTCCTCCCAGCTTTGCAGCAGTGCTAAAAAGCCGATTTTGCATCTCAGCGGGCCCGGAGCTCCTCTTGAGGCTGCTTGCATCTCAATACAGGCTGGAGACGAAAGGCTGAGAGACATGCTCTGGGACATCGCTGGCACTGAAGTTCACCCGCAGGATTTTCCCAAGTCACAGTCAGGGCCTCAGGTAGGGACAAAAATGCCATATATTATTAACTGAACAGCACGGCAATTTGTTTTAATTTGGTTCATAGAGCCCCACTGTCACATGGAGTCCCTCTGCAGTCGAGCACAGATGGCTTCCTTTATTGGAAAAATCAGAGTTATCCAGTGGCACGCCAGCAAAGTGAAACAGATAAAGTCAGCCCCTCAGAGTTATTCAGATTATTTGTTTCAGTAGCTTTCATTATAAAGAGGAGTGACTATATTAGTTCCTTTTAAATGCCTTTGATCCATTTAAAACTTTAATAGCTTCTTTCTTTTTCAATCTGAGGCCTTTGCTCTGTTTGAAGAAAAAAAAACATAAAAATCTTCTGCATAACTTTTTCCTGCCAATATTTCAATAAAAGATGTGAAACCAATGAGGGACAAAGTTTCAGGATGAGATCTGACTGTCCGGGGGGAACAATGAGACCCAGAGAAGAGGAGCGATGCGACAGCCCTGCAGTAAACGTGGGGTGCAACGTTCACCTCCGAGTCACCACAAACCTGCGACTCAGCTGAACACTGCTGCGAGTCACTGAAAACCTCTGAGACCACGTTTTGGAAATCAGAAAGAAATCAACTTTAATTTGTAGGTGAGACTTCACCTGCAAGGACCACAACCTTCCTACTTATTACTGATAATGTTGTTCTATAAATGAGAAGCAACACTCTCAGGGAGCGGCTGCTGCTTACGTAACACCTCAGTGGGGACTGAGCTTGATACAGGCAGGCGGGCTGGTTTATAGACGTCTTACAGGAAGGGTTCCAGGTGTGATCCTGCTCATGAAATCTGGAGATCCCACTTCAGTTATTTTTGCTGCCAGATGTTCTTAAACTGGTAGTTCAGTCATGTAGGACTGAAGTTTAAAATGGTGAAGACACAGATTTGAAACCAAAAGAAATCCAAGCAAAGATTATCTGACTTTTTTTCCCTTCGGATCGAGCTTACAGTACACAGAAAATCATTCTTCTGAATATTTCCAACTATTCCAGCCTCAGTCTGTGAGGTTCAACAAGAAGACAAATAAGATCAAACACCTGATAATCTTGTAATTCATCCAAATTCAGTGAAGACGCAATAATTCAGTGTGCAGTTGTTTGTTTTTGGTTAACCCCCAGAGACAGCAGTGACACCCCAAAGTGCCCACCTTTCTCAGAACCTTTCCCATCCCAGCGCCATCTTCTGTTCACGCCAAACGTCCAATAAATTGTCCTTGTGGTGCAAAGAACAGAGAAGTTTTAAAGTGAGTGATTTCTGAAAACATTGAAAACACTAAAGACTGTCCTCTTCCTCCAACAAGAGGTGAAACTTCATGTTGAGAGTGACAGTGAGCACTGTGCATAGCAGTAGGTGTTCTCCAGGGAGGGGAGAATTATTTTCTGTCTTCCACTGTGATTCCTTCAATTCTGTGAGTTTGAGTAATTAGGCATCAACAAGACAGCACCACCTTAGTTTAAAGACCTATAAAGAGTAAGGATCATGTCAGTGCAGCTGGATGGAGCTGTGAACACAGCAACACATCCCCGTAGTATCTGCTTGTCTAGCCAGCCTCAGGAGCAAGATGTAGTCTGATTTGTCTCCAGATTTTATGACTCTGTAATCGCCTGATCTGAGTCAGCGACCACCTCAACAGATAAAAATGTTGTGAGTCTGAAAGCAGCATCATTGCTCCGCATTGAAACCGATAGATAACATCAATGTCAGCCCCTCTAACAGCCAGTCAGATGATATGTTTTTGCTTCATTCTGCTTGGAAAAGGAAACTGAAACAAAGCTGGAGGTTTTACTTTACACAGTTTCATACAAGGACTCTGATGTTCTCAGCTGATATATGAAGATAGAACTGCACTCACTCTTGGTGGACTCTACTTCGGAAACAAAATAATCCTTCCAATCCAAACATTGTGAAAATATAATAAAACCGTATTATTTTTCACAATGCTGCCCTGAATCTGTCATAACAGACTTCCTGCTGCAGTGGGATCCATCCAGCTGTCAGGCAGCTGTGAGAGGGAAGTCATGGCAGGTCTCGGTAATGTCCAGCCCCGCTTTCTGGAAGCTGCTGATGTCTCCTTCATCAGCTCACGGGGCCACACAGCTTCCAGGGCTCCTCTTCACCACCTGTATCTGACACTTTGTTTTCCTGTCAAAGCGGCTTGGCTTATTATCCAGATCAGGAGAATCTGCATAGTAACCATCCCCCTCTCTCGTCCGTTTGTTGCATATGACCTAATATGCTCAAATGGTTCCTTTTACTTACACCAGTAAATTACAGAATGAACAGCAGCAGGCTGAACAATTAACATTATGTAAATAGGAATTTGAGTGTTGTGTTTGAATAACAACAAGCTGTAATTATAACTGAACTCTCCTTAACAGCGTCTTAACCAGCTTCAGGGGGTGAAGATGAGGTTCATGTAGCTGTTGACCCGAAATTTCATTCACCTACAATAACAGTTTGCTTAACTGCAGCTTATTAAAATCAATTATCTCCATTAAAAGAGGAACTGTTGGCAGCTGTCTGCTTCATTTGCTCTCTGCAGGCCAGAATCTTTCATGTTAGTATTTAGAATTAAAGATGGTTTTAACAAAGTGGAAAGTCCACTCTTTGCAGATTCATGTGTGCATTTCTCAAACAGTTTAGTGTGCTCGTAGCCTTCTTATATGTCTGTGATGCAATAACGATGTTAACTATCAGACAGCTCCAGAGGCTATTATATGTATAATCATAGGCTGTATATAAAAGATGGACACTGCAGTTTTGGTACCATCTTGGCTTTAGACACGAGCGATCATTTCTGCTGTTCTGAGAAAGTGACTTGCCGATTGAAACATAGCGTTTTGTAAACTTTTTCTTTTAAATACGAAAAAAGTGTTTAGTGAGGTCATGGATCTAATGAGCAGTAGGGTCATTTTGTGTTTGGCCACTAGAAAGAATACAGATTATGTACTGGTTTCATTTTACAGACTCAACTATTACACCACAGAGTGAAAGGAGCGCATCGTTTGTATTTAACCAGGAGGGTTTGTGTGCTTCTTAAAAATAGAAATACTTAATCTCTCCTGAAATAAAGAGGACTGATACAACCTGGTGAAACCAAAATAACTCAGAACTCTTCAGGGTTGAATTATAGCCAGAAAGTGGAATAATTAGTCATCGGCAACCGAACTTTAAGCGAGGAATTATTGATTGAACCTTCACATTAAAACTGCTGAAACTGGCCTAAGCAGTCATTAGAAGTGTAGAGCTGTTAGTTATCAAGCTTTATGTTCTCAGACAGTGACACACTTATTTACAGCCATGCATTTGTGATAATTAATACATTTGTTTAAGTGTACGTTATTATCTTTTATTAGCTATTGTATGAAAATACTATCTAAACTGAGCTAAAGGGGAGACACTAAAGAAGAACAGGATGAAAACAGATTTGAGGATGAAACCACTGAGCCAATTTCTGCTTTTGGAAGGGAATTTTGGAAATCTCTAAAAGCAAGAAACAAATCTAATTTTATGAATAAATTCCTCCATGGATCAGCCTCTGAAAAAATCCTTCTGTTAAAACTTCCAGAAAACAGAAGGAAACAAAAGTGTTGATTGGCGACTTCAAGTGGGAGGAAAAAGGCACTTTGAGAATGGAAATGGACGGGCTGACCCCTGAAACCCTACAAGCCACATTCATCTTATATATTCACATATGCACTTTAAGCACTACCTCTTATCCATAGACACTTATTTTGGAATCACTAATTAACATAACAGGATGTCTTTGTACTGTGGTAGTTAGCCAGGATACCTGGAGGACACATATGCAGGTACAGGTAGAATATGCAAAAGCCATGCAGAGAAGCATCTGCTATCAGGTCATAGCGGCAAAATTCTAAAGTAAAATTTTCATTCACCTGTGAGGGAAGCAAAACTGTCTCAAAGTTAAAGGCAGAGAGGAAAGTACAAAAAAATCTACATTTTCACCACCATGTCTCCCTTTAATTAACAACATTTCTTTATAAAAGAAGACGATCTTAATCTGTGTCTCTTGTCATTATATCTGCCTTGACTGTTTAAAACATAACATTTAATGTGTAGAAACTAATGTCAGAAGCATCCATACTGGGAGAAACAAACCTCAGATCATGAACGCTGCACAGACAAAACACTGATGAGCATTTAGATGACCCAAATAAAGTGACAAGTGCTATAAAAATACATCTGTAGTATGCTAATGCACTGTGCTAATTATGAAGCTAGTACAGTTCTCAGCCACTGAGGCAGCAACGTAAGAGCACATTTCAGGACGCATGGCGGTTTCTGTGCATTGCATCAGAGGGAGAGCGGGCTGTGTTCTGCAGGAGAACATGAAAAAGCACCGCGAAGCAGGCCTGTTGTTGGTGAATGAGGGTCAAGTGTTTGACAGCTTGGTGCTTTCAGGGAAAAAGCAGGTGTGGGGTTTTATGATGAGTAGCTTTATGATCACAACAGGAAGCCAGCTCTGTGGCGCAAGTAGCCAGGTGTGCAACTCAAATAAGTACCGTGTTACAGTAAATAAGTAGATGCACAAATGACAGTCTGCCAGTCGGAGCTGTGTGAAGATGCATTACTGAAACTGTTTGTGCTTTCCAGATCTCGTGGGGAAAATAAATCACGTGTCTAGTGAAGAAAATGGTTTTCACTCAGAAAACATTTTCCACAGTTGTCATTTATGAAATTGGTTTTGGTTGAAAATAAACATTCAGTTTATTTCTCCCTCTGTGCCAACACTTGAACTTGTTCAGCGCTGAATAATATCAGAACTATTTACAGAGATGATGTTTTTTGAGTAGGGAGAGCCTAGCTTCCTCTTATCTGTTTGCTCTCCTGCCTTCTTGTCTTTCTGCTTCACTTCTTCTCTTTATACTAATGCTTATCTTTAATCTTATTTGCATTCAAATTACCTCACAGGTGGTACACCAATAAGAGGTAAGAATGCTGGCTACAGAAAAACATCTACTCATCCTCCCTTTCTCCTTCATCGCCTTCATCCTTCTCTCCACCTCGGTGTGTCCCCATTTCCAGCCCTCTGTCCTTTTGCCTGTTCCAACACTTTCTTTGCCTTCAGCACATAACCGTGCACAGGTGTGTATGGTCTTGAAAGAGGCGGGTAAAAAGTTTTCAAATTCAGAAAACCAGGGTAAATAATGCCTGTCTGCGGAGCTTCATGAGTACTTATTTTGGTTGAAGTCTCGCAGCTGAACAGTGTTGAGTTTGCAGGTCGTATAAAACAGAGTTGGACATTTTTTTTTATCAAATCCAAAATAATGCCTTTTTGATATAATATGCAATCGTTTGTATTTTGCTGCTTCTTACTATACACATGCAAGAAGGAAGAGTTCACCTTCAGAATGAGAATGCAGCACTGAAGACAAACTGCAGCTGCTTTCTATCAAACAGCTGTTTCACTCCATTTTCATGGTGTGGAAGGAAGGACAGCGGTGTGCAGAGGACTCACTAAAATCTAGACTCATATTTTAAGCAGTGCCTAACAATTATTATTTACCCCCCAAAATAAATGAAGAATTGGACGCGAAGTGTCTCAAAAGCAGCTGTTTAAAGTTCTGTGTC